CGGTCAAACAGAAGATACTATGTCAGTTGCCCTAACACCCGTCATGAAAGACACTTTCTACGTCGGTTAAGATTTACCCGACATAGAAAGTTCACTTTCTATGTCGGTTAAATGTTACCCGACATAGAAAGTTAACTTTCTATGTCGGGTAAATCTTAACCGACGTAGAAAATGAACTTTCTATGTCGGGTAAAATTTAACCGACATAGAAAGTGACCTTTCCACTTACTATGTCGGTTAAAACTTACCCGACATAGAAAGTTTATGATTTTATTACTAAATTGCCACCGTGCCACATACTATGACGGGTGGACTATGACCGTGATAAAAACCCGTCATAGAAAGCTATTTTTCCACTAGTATTGCAGCCTCCCCACTCTCGAGCACCCCACACGGTATCCTCATTTGAACCCATATACCCGTCACCACCAGGCTTCTTCCCCGTCACCACCACAACCATACCCGTGCCCTAATTCCACCTTCACTCACCAAAGCTTCTCACCAACGCAGAACCACCCCGCAGTCGCACCACATCTTAGCTTTCAGCCTCCACATTCTCGCCCAATCACCCTCATCGGAACCACCACATCTCACAACCGCGGACCCCCCTTTTCGCAGAAACCCCGTCTTCGCGGCCTGTCGCGCAGCATCCCTGCAGCCTGGAACTTGAGTCACCTCGACGCCGGCTGCGGTCACCGCCTCTCCTCGCTCCAGCCCACCCCCATTGTGCCACTGAGCTCGCTGTGAGCTAGAGGTGAGATATAGAGGCAGCGAGTTAAGCCTGGTATTATGCTTTAATCCTATTTCTTTCACATTTTTTGGAGTCTGAACTGTTCTGCTTAGTTAACTATTAAGCCCGGGTCTGGTTTATTTGCATATGAATCATTGAATTGTTGTATATCGTACATAATTTTTATTTGTATGTGAATAGGAAGAATTTCAGAGAAGATACTCTGAGGCTAGATCTGAGGCAGCATCCTGTGCTGCTGAAACCGAGTCATCTCCATTAGATCCTATAGAGGACGAGAGAATAAGGACTGAAAGTTGGATTCTTGCTGCATCTAGCAACAAAAAGGGTCGGATCTACGGTGTTGGAGAACTTGCCCATAAGTTTAGGCCTGGAGATACCCTCTCATATTCAAGCATCTACTCGATTCTCGTGAGATTACACAATTAAAGAAACAAGTGCTTAGTTATAGGGAGGATAATGAAAGATTGAACCACCAATTACAAACACTTGTCGGTGTTGTCCTTCCTTTACTTCCACTCGATGCCCGACAAGCATTTCAACAACAACATTCCCAACAAGGATCACAACAACAATCACAACAGGAGCGACGAAGAGCAAGCAACAACAATCACAAAATCAACCAGTTTCGTAGAGCAGCCTCAAGATGAACAAGGACATTACTATAATTATTAGGACACTCAAACAATATTGTCATAATATTTATTATAGTACTTCTTTGGATTTGTATGTTTTTAGATATTTCAAGGACTACTTGATGCATGCTAATATTAGGATTTGTGTTTGATATCCGAATATGCATTTGGTGCATATAAATATTATGGAATATTGTTAAATTTGATATCTAAATATTTTATGTGTAATATGCATGTAACAGGTAAAATTTAGTTAAATTGGTGGTGATAAAATTGTATAAATTTACGTAGTGATTTTCCTACTGGATTTACCTACGGATTTTGAATGAGGTAATTACCTACGGATTCTGTTCGTGGGTAATTACATACGGATTGCAATCCGTAGGTAATTACCTACGGATTCTGTTCGTGGGTAATTACCTATGGATTGTAATCCGTAGGTAATTACCCACGGACGACATTACTTACGGATAGTAATTCCGTAATTACCTACGACCATATTACCTACGGATTTTCTACGGAAAAAAATCCGTAGGTAAAATGACATTACCTACGAATTTTTGCCATTACCTACGGATTTTTGCCGTAGGTAATATGTTTTTTTTTTGTAGTGAGATAATAAGACTATAATTTAATCTGAATTATACAGTATGCAATTGATTTATAGTTAAGTGAAAAACTTTTTTTGCAGAAAGTGAGAATATATAGGCGAAAATAATTTATCTAAATTTCATAATTTTATAAAATAAAATAATTCATCTTATATTAAACAACTAAATAAAAGTGTATTTCACGTATTTAGCAAAACTATCTATTAAAATATTATATATTTATAAAAGTTGTGTGTTTTTCTGTTAAGTATAAATAAGTCAAATGTATAACTTTAAAAAATATTAATTGATTAAAAATACATACCTAAGTCTTTAACTTTTAAAATGAATTATATATGAATATATATTTTTGAAAAATAACTATAACACTTACTTTAAAAATGTCATACTTTCCAATTTATGATTAAAATAAAAAAAATTATAAATAACTTCTACACAATTTTAGGAAAATATTCATATGTTTAAACTAATTAATTATAAAAATATTCCCAAATAGTTTTTATTTACACATTTTAGTTTTTAAAATAAAATCCATATAATTCATTTTGCATTCAATTAAACTCCGTTAAAACTTTAACTGGTCCTGAACAAGATTTATGTGCCTTGCATTACACAAATTCATTGGTGGGTGTAAAATAGTTACATGTTTTTTTAAAGTATATTTTATTTTTAAATGAAATTTATAACACTTTACAATTTTAAATTTTTATTCATAATTTGTAATGAATGATAAAATGTCCTTTTAGGAACAATATTAATTGATATAGCTGTGAGGTTATAAAGATGTAACAAATAATAAGTTATAAAGACATTTAATTCACTTCATAAGATTTATAGATTAAATTCAACAAGGTTTGGTTGATCACTTGAATATTGGTGACAATGGTTTATATTAAAGTTAATTAAAAAATTATTGTTATTAATCAATCAGATTAGAGATTAATACTGGTTGTAGACAATAAATCTTCAATATCAATAACTCAATATGCATTGCTAGCCACTAAGTATGATATTTATTTTACAAAAATTATATATTCATCCACTAAGTATGAGTTACAATAGTAATAAAATAATATATTACTGGCCACTTAACAAGCATTTTTAATTTTTCAAAGATGAATGGCAACTATTAATGTGATAGTAATAGTTGACTATAATAAATATTAAGATACACATTAAATATTTTCAAGTAATTTTTTTGGCATGTTTCTCTTTTCATAGTAATGATTGATGAAGTATTGTTTATTTTTTATTTTATATAATATTTTATTATAAGGCACTATCTATTCTTGCCCACCACGATGTGCACGAATCTATAAGCAAATAAGAGATTTTAATATTTACTTAATTTTTTAAAGAAATATATTTTAACAAATAGAAAAAAATGTAATGTTACATAATTCAAATAATTTTTTTTGTTAATTTGTTTATTGTCTTATTATCGCCTTAATTACCGGTTATTACAGTATTTATATTTTAATGTAGTTTTATATTTTCTCTTTTTCTTTTCTTTTTTTCTTTTTTTTCTGCCTGCGTTCCTTCCTCTTTCCTTTTCCCTGCTCTTGAGATGACAGCAACCCAGTCTTTAAGAGACCGAGATTCCGCCATAAATGCATTCTTCCCGTAACTCCAGCTTCTTCTTCGATTCAACATCGCTTCTTTCTCTCACTCCCGGTCCGTTCCCTGTTTCTTTTTTTCTTTTTACTTTCTTTGCTTTGGATTAGTGGAATCACGGCTTGAGTTTCTAATCTCTTTATTAGCTTTGAATTGTTGCTTTTCGATTGAATTTTTATTTGAAATATTGGTCGGAGAGAGGTTTTGAGGCTTGACTTGCTTGAACTTTGCCCTCAGTTAACCCTACCGCGAATTTCGGTTAGGCGGAGAAAATTTGGGAGTCCTATTTTTTGTTATCTTTTGTTGATAATATAAGGATTCAGGAAAGAGAATTTTCGCTAATTTTTTTTTTCTGTTTTGAATTTTTTGGATTTTTTTTACTCCAACTTCGAGTTAGGATCCTTGACTCCAATTCCTCACCGGCGGCAAAATTGCCGGTCTCCGGTTGCCGGCTACTCTCGGTTCTTAACTTTTGTTTTCTCTTGATTTATTATTTTATGCGGTATTTTTGAAGATGATTTTGCAGTGTGGTACAGGAAGATATGTCGTAGCACAGAGAGAGAGAGAGAGAGAGAGAGAGAGAGAGAGATGTTGAAGGCTAATTATAGCCTTATTGGTCAACCATAAAAGATAATAACTCTGCATCCGTTGAACTTGAACGACTGAGGATCCTTTTTTTCTTGTTCCTAACATCTTTGATTTTTAAGGGATAACATTTTTTACTCCATTGACATTTACTTCATGGCAAATTCTCCCTCTAATTTTAATTCTGTACCACTACAGTTTAATATATAGGTACGTGTGGGGTGATTGGCTTAGCTTAGTGGTTGATTACCACTAAATGGTATTATAATGTTGAAAGATGAACTATCTTTATTGAAATCTCTTGAAATAGTTGTTTCGGAGTAGTTGTGAATCAAGAAATAGAGGTGGGTGAAAAGAGGTGGAGTGTTGGCAATTATTATTTCTCAATGGACGGAACATTTAGAAAAATGGTATTTCAAGGAACTGAATGCTAGCGTAAGAGTATAAGTATGTTGAGATGCTTTATGATAACTATAGAGTAAACAGCAGTTTGGTTTCGAGGATGAAAATTTTCACAAATATCATGCTAGAAGATAGATGATATTACAAGCAAGTAGCAACTTTAGGTACATTTGGCTGCTGCAGTCGATGTTTACTATATAGTGGATCTACATGTAAATATGTGCAATTGCATTTCTTGAAACTATATATTTTCTAGATATCTATCAGAAACCTCTAGCCCGAGGCTTGTAATGAGCACTTGGCATCTTAGCTTGAATATGACAATATTATTGATTTTGTTATTCATTGTTTTGGATTTTGTTTTGTTTCTCTGCAGGTTATGCATATGTGATCAAATACTGAAATATGCTTGACTGTGGTCACAAGTCAGAATACATGGGTGGCCAGCGAGAAAATTTTTTGAGGTATCACCATCCAATATATTTCATTGAAAAGTTATGAAGGAGAAGATAGTCATGTCAATGATATTTATTTGCATGTTATTATCTCACGTAACTTAAAACAATTTCTAAATTCCAACTTCAGAATAAATTTGGTACTTGAAATTGCAGAGATAAATTATGACAATATGATTCAAACTTTTACATTTAATTGTTTTTTTGTCCATATAGCATGGAAGGATATATAACCACTTAACCATTTGCTATGTCACTCATTCAGTCAGTTGTAAACTGTAACAGTGTTAGAAGTAGAAAATTTGTTATTCTGTAATTTTCCCAGATGGCTGTCCAGTTAAACCATAGAGAAAATGTTTCTCACTTGCAATATTTTACACTTTCAATTTTAAAATGGTTTACATGGATCTTATTAATGTAGCTTTCTTAAATTGAATTAATGTTTATAGTGGATTCAACTCATAGTGACCTTAAGTCTCTCACGATATAGGACAAAACATTCTCTTCTTTGCCTTTCTATGACCTGGAATTGATCTTGACATTCCTTTTTATGAACATGCAATTACATAGTTATAATTTCAGACAAAATTGATCTGTTTCTGTGCATTCTGTTAATTCCTAGGTTGGAAGCTTTGGATTCTACACTATCTTCATCTTCTGATGCGGGAGTTATAAAATCTGGATTTAGTATTGATAAATTAAGTCATAGTGGTCATGGAAGCAGCACAACTTCTAGGTCTTTTAAAAGGGGAATGAGAAGGGGATCTGAGGGGCTGAAATCAATTGGACGAACACTTGGGTTGGGAGTATCTAGGGCAGTGTTCCCGGAAGATCTTAAAGTGTCAGAAAAGAAGATATTTGATCCTCAAGACAAATTCCTGCTCTTATGGAATAAACTTTTTGTTATCTCATGCATTTTGGCTGTGTCTATAGATCCACTGTTTTTTTATCTTCCAGTCATTAATAATTCATTTCATTGTCTTGGCATAGACCGAAAGTTGGCAACAATAGTTACAACACTAAGGACAGTGATTGATGCTTTCTATCTTATACACATGGCTCTCCAATTTCGTACTGCTTATATTGCTCCATCTTCACGTGTCTTTGGGCGCGGTGAGCTTGTGATAGATTCTGCACAGATAGCCAAACGATACTTGCAGCGGTATTTCATCATTGATTTCCTATCAGTGTTGCCAATACCACAGGTCAGAAAAAACTGTTTTATCTTCAGTCAACCTATTTGTTTAAGCTGCTTAAATATTTTCAATGTAAGACCCTCTTGTATTTAAAAGTGTTTGTAGCTTGTTAGTGTTCACTTTGGATTGCTATAATGTATAAAATATATCTTGGATCTAGGGATGGTATTACTAATAGGATAAAGCTCCCCAATCTAGTTGTATTTCTGTTTTTCATGGTTTGAAACTACTAAACATGGGGATTCTGTTATTAATATATTTGAACTTTTTTGGCTTATGATTATATATAAATATTTATACTTTTAATGTCCTCTGAAATTTGCAACTGCTTACCAGACATTGATTTATATATTCAAAACATTTCTTTGTGACTGCATAGTGGATCCAGTTAAAGTTACAACAGTTATTTGCATAACACTAATGCTTGTCTTCACAGTCTGCAATTTTAAGAAGTATAACAAAACTCAAATCCTACTTGTTTACTCTGGTCTGTTCTTGATTTCAGATTGTGGTTTGGAGATTTCTTTTGAGGTCAAAAGGTTCAGATGTACTAGCAACAAAGCAGGCCTTGTTATTCATTATCTTGTTTCAGTATGTTCCTAGATTTCTCCGAATGGTACCATTGACGTCAGAGCTTAAGAGAACAGCCGGTGTCTTTGCTGAAACTGCATGGGCAGGTGCTGCATATTATTTGCTGCTATACATGCTTGCCAGTCATGTAAGTTTTCCCTTTATTTGTTTTTTGTGTGTAAAATCATTGGGTTGTTCTATTTGAGCTACAATCTCACTAGTTATGCTATTATGGGTCTTTTTCCACCAATGATCATTTGCAGATAGTTGGTGCATTTTGGTATTTGCTAGCTATTGAACGCAATGACTCATGCTGGCAGAAAGCATGCAGTGGCATTGAGAATGTGTGCAATAAAAACTTCCTTTATTGTGGGAACCAGCACATGGAAGGTTATAGTGCTTGGCGTGATAGAAGTGAAGATATTCTTACGTCAAATTGCTCTGCAGATGGTGATCCTCCACCTTTTGATTATGGAATTTTTGAGCAAGTCTTGTCTTCTGGCATAATTTCATCTAAGAAATTCATCTCCAAATACTGTTACTGTTTGTGGTGGGGGCTCCAGAATTTGAGGTAATTAATTTTTTTTTCTATGGAGTTTGGACATCTGTGTTGTGCATTCCATAACAGGCCAATAGATATTAGAAAGACTGCAACAAGTATATTTTGTGTGAAGTCTGACCTGAATACACTGATATAGCAAGTGTTTCTCCAAAAGTATGTATTTCTGAATGGAGTGATTATATTATTTCTACTTTGTTTGCAAACAAAGTGCTTAGTTTAAACAAATTAGAAGGAAAACCTGTTGGTTATAGTTGTATCGGTAGTGGAATGGGTATTGGGTAAATTAACTCTATTTTGGTTGTACCTCTTGAATATTCCTCTTGTGTTCTGCCCGTTTGAATGAAGAATGAATTATACAAGAAAGAAATAAGAGGGGAAGAAGTGTATAAATCTCTTTCTGCTTCCAAATACAGTATGAGTGTTTGAAAAATTTAGTGAAAAGAAAATTTAAATATGTGCTAAACCACTGGGGGAATTATATGTTTCAGTAATTAGGTGTGAATTATGAAATCTTATCCTCTTTGTTTGTAGTTACTAACCTATTTTCTTTTAATCAGGGTTCTACAATCTCTTAGAAAATGTTTATTTTGTTCTGTAAGGCAACCCCTAAAATTAATTTCTAAAAGTAGGTTACTAGTCTTGTCATTAAACAAAATTAATGGCATTAACTTTTGAAGAAAATCTATCAATTTTTATAATTTTATGTAGTTTTGAAATCTAGGTCACTGGTTTCTTACTTTGAATCTAAGATGTGATGAATTATGTCCTACAGTTTTGTCCTGTTTCAAGATTGTTCTAAAATTTGTCCTTTTTAGTTAATCTGTAAATTTAGCATTGATCTAGATCCATGAAATTTATCATTTTAATAAGTTCCTATGATATTTGTGGTTATTAATCCCATATTCAAACATTCTTGGGCTGAAGTGTTTTATGGAAATACTTGTTTGCTTGAATAGTCTTAGCTACCCTCCTATTAAATGGAGACAAGTTGGAAGGTTATTAAGGGAATTATACTGGTGTGCTGAGGCTGACGAGTGTGAGAAGAGAAGAGGTTTATACCAATCTCAACACAATGCAAGGAACTTGGTGAGTTCTGGGAGACGCTTAATAAAGAAAAGAAAAGAGGATATGAGCATGGTTTAGGTAGAAGTTGAGTGCAAAAGGGATAGGAGGATATTCAAACATTCTTGGGCTGAAGTGTTTTATGGAAATACTTGTTTGCTTGAATAGTCTTAGCTACCCTCCTATTAAATGGAAACAAGTTGGAAGGTTATTAAGGGAATTATGCTGGTTTGCTGAGGCTGACGAGTGTGAGAAGAGAAGAGGTTTATACCAATCTGAACACAATGCAAGGAACTTGGTGAGTTCTGGGAGACGCTTAATAAAGAAAAGAAAAGAGGATATGAGCATGGTTTAGGTAGAAGTTGAGTGCAAAAGGGATAGGAGGTTTGCATGTCTGTCAAACAAACTGTTGCATTTTCTTTTTTCTTCTATTTTCCAGTGTTACGGAAAATGGCTGTGACAGATACAGTCCGTAACCTTTCTTTTTTATACTGATACTGGTTCTATATCAGTTCAGAAAAGGGAAAGATTTGGTTTTATGAATATATTAACACTCATCTGACTCTAGTTTCTATCAAATACTGAGAATTTTTTTTATATACTTTACATTTTCAATTTAGTTTGTGGAAGAAATTATTTGTACACATGTCTTCTCCTTCCCCTGCCCACCTCCCTTTTTCTCCCTTCATTTGATACGGCAAAACCAACTTTTTATGATCTTCTCTGCAGTACACTTGGCCAGGGGCTTCAGACTAGCACCTACCCTGGAGAGGTTATCTTTTCAATAGCACTTGCTATTTTTGGTCTCATCCTCTTTGCACTTCTGATTGGCAACATGCAGGTATACTTCAAATCGATGAAATTAACCTATCGTGAAAGTAAAATTGCCGGAAGTCTTGTCATTCAGTTTGTTCAGAATTTGCTAGAGTTTCCATGGGCTGTGTTTGATTGGGTCAAAATATACTGGATACTTGAATAGTTCAATTATCACCCAATGTTAATTTTCATGCTTATCAACCATACTTTGATATATAAGTGATTCAAATATTGCAATTATATGTATGGTATGAGTGGGATTAAAAGATATTAAGTAGTGTCGCAATGTAGTAGCTAGGCCCTGGATAGTGTTTTAGTGACTCTTCTGTAAGATCAGCTAAATATTGCAATTATATATATGGTGTGAGAGGGATTAAAAGATATTAAGTAGCGTCGCAATGTAGTAGCTAGCCCCTGGATAGTTTTTGAGTGACTCTTCTGTAAGATCAGCTGGACAAGGCATATGATCTTGATATATGTAACATAGAGAAAATATTGACTTGCCACTTGTCTTTTTCTTTGGCTAAATCATATATTGTTGAAAATGAATGCATTATTGGTAAACTTTTTATCTAAACTTATGAACTACATATTAGTATTCATGGAGAGAACCTATACATCATGAACACATGGAAACAGAGGTGTTTGACACAAAACATTGATGACATTTTTCTGACATGTATTTGTACGTGTACTTTTGTAGAATTTTTTTTTGGGTGGAGCGGTTATCTATGTTGTGGATAGTCATTGAAAAAAGTTGGTCTGTTTTAAACTTCTAAACAATTTTTTATAACAATAAAAAAAGGCGCCAGTGCATTTTGTCAGACAACACTTTTATTTTCCCCAACTTTTTCATTTCATGTTGACTCTTATGGTACTCATCAAGATATTGCCATTTTTGAAGAAAGCACACACATAGTGATAAGGCCCAAGGTAAACAGGAAAATGAACCACTGGCCCATGAGAACAAAGGAGCCCCAAAGAAATGGATTGTGTATGAACGTAAGAAGAAAAAGAATGCTGACGTGGCATGAAAGGTTTCTGAGGTTGTTAGAGGAGAGAGGGAGAATATTTTCTGTTATGTAAATAATGTTTTGGGAGGGGATGGGAGGGGAGAGAGATTTGGGGGTTGATTTGGATAGAGAACCTCATGGTTGCTTTATTAGGAGCTTAGCTCTGGGCAGAGAAAGGGATTATCCTTTTTCTGAGTTTCATTACTGTCTCGATTACATTTTCAATACAGAAATTTCTTACTTACCTGTGTGATTATTGCTTCATTCTATGTGGTTGATGTTTGAATCCTATTAATTGGTCCGACCTGCCATCGGAATTTTGAATGCCACCGAAGAAGGGAAATCAATCTAAGCCAGAAAGATCAGCGGACGAGGAAAACATGGAAGCACGTGTTAGCTCTGTGGAAAATGAGATTGCTCGAATGAGGATAACGATGGAGAATTTTCAAGAAGCGATAAAACGCGAAGTTCAAGAGAACCACTCGATACTCGTCGAGCTTTTGACTCGAAATTCTGGGAAAGATCTAGAGGGGGAAGATGAAGGTTCAGTGAAGAAGAAGAGCGTATCAAATAGGAAAAAACATTTTGGAGTGACCTCGGGTATGAACACGCTCGAAGGGGAAGCCTTAGAAGAATTTCGTCAATCCGTGAAGAAGATTGAGCTTCCCTCATTTAATGGCGAGGATCCTGCAGGATGGATCTCCAGGCAGAGATCTATTTCCAGGTTCAACAGACTAGTGAAGCGGTGCGTGTCAATTTGGCGCATTTGTGCATGGAGGGAGGAACGATACATTTTTTCAATGTCTTATTGAACGATTATGATGAGCTAACGTGGGAGGATTTAAAGAGGGAGTTGCTGGAAAGATATGGAGGAATGGGCGAAGGAAGTGTGTTCGATCAATTGACATCATTGAAACAAAATGGGAGCATTGAAGAATACATCGCAACGTTTGAGCGATTGGTGGCCCAAGTACCTCGACTGCAAGATGAACAATACTTTTCTTATTTCACTCATGGTTTGCGTGAGGAAACAAGGGCGCGACTGAGAAGCTTACATGTGGTGAAACCGTTGACAAGGGGAAGATTGATGAATGCAGCCAGAGCGGTGGACTCTGAAATTCATATGCGAAACAGAGGATGGCAGAAGAGGAGTGAGACACATGTTATAGGAACGGGTCAATTTGAATCCAGAAATTATTCTACAATTTTGGGTCGGGTAGCTCCAAAAACGTATGGAGCAAGCAGTAGAGTGAATGGGCCTGACCCAAATACAAAGGGGGAAGCAGGAGAAAATAGAGGTGGGCCTCGGGATAGAGGAGCAAAACATCTGGCTTATCAAGAATTAGTGGACCGAAGGAAAAAGGGTCTTTGTTTTAAGTGTGGAGGAACGTATGGACCCTTGCATCAATGCCCAGTAAAACAACTAAGGGTGATTATGTTGGACAATGAATTACAAGTGGAGTGCGATGAGGAAGAACATATAAGTGATGAGAATGGTGATAACGATGATGAAGGAGAATGTAGTGTTATTGGTTTATTTGATTTAAATATAGAAAAGCATAATCCTCCCCAAACTTTGAAATTGGAAGGCAAAGTTCATGGCATCTCCCTTTCTCTGCTCGTCGACAGTGGAGCCACACATAATTTTATTTCCAAACGTTTGGTCGACGCTATGGAATGGAATTGGGATCCTACAAAGAAGATGCGAATTTTGATGGGTGACGGTCATAAAGCTGAAACACAAGGAGTCTGTCGCGGAATTGAAGTTGAGGTTAATGGTGAGACATTCAATATTGACGCTGTACTCTTTGACTTAAAGGACATTGATATGATTCTGGGAATGTGTTGGCTGGCATCTTTAGGGGAAATGTTGATTGATTGGGGAAAACAAACGATGAGGATTACCACTAGTCAAGGGACGAAACTGTTACAAGGGGTGAAGAGTGAAAAGTCTCTAGCAGCCCAAATCAAGGAGTTAGTGGGAGACTCACGGGATATTCCAAAAAGAAAAATCACGAATCAACAACAAGGGGAATTGGAGGAATTACTTGACAACTTTATTGACGTCTTTGCTGAACAAAAAGGATTACCACCAGTTCGTTCGAGGGAGCATAAAATCTTACTGAAGCCAAATCAAGAGCCAATTAATGTGCGGCCATATCGTTATCCTTATCACCAGAAAAATGAAATAGAAAAACAAGTTAAAGAGTTGATGGAGAATGGGCATATACGTCACAGCCACAGTGCCTATTCAAGTCCCGTAGTCCTTGTCAAGAAAAAAAATAACAAGTGGAGAATGTGTGTGGACTACCGTGCTCTTAACAAGGCCACAATTCCAGATAAATTTCCTATCCCTGTAATTGAAGAATTGTTAGATGAATTACATGGTTCTAAATACTTTTCAAAGTTGGATCTTAAATCAGGGTACCATCAAGTCAGGATGAGGGAGGAAGACATTGCGAAGACAGCTTTTAGAACTCACGAGGGCCATTACGAGTACCTCGTAATGCCTTTCGGGCTCATGAACGCTCCAGCAACATTTCAAGGATTGATGAATGAGGTATTTCATGATCGACTTCGAAGTGGAGTTTTAGTATTTTTTGATGATATATTGGTGTATAACTCTGAATGGAAAGAGCACTTGGTTCAATTAAAAATGGTTCTGGAAGTTATGAGGCATCAAAAGTTATATGCCAACAAGGAGAAATGTAATTTTGCCCAGGAAAGTGTTGAATATCTGGGACATGTGATTTCATGGAAAGGAGTGGAAGTTGATCCAGCCAAGGTCAAAAGTGTAATGGAGTGGCCAATCCCAAAAAATGTAAAAGGAGTAAAGGGATTCCTGGGACTTACAGGTTACTATCGTAAGTTCATTCGGAATTATGGAAAAATAGCGAAACCCCTAAATGAATTGACCAAGAAAGATGGTTTTACGTGGAATGAGAAAGCGCAACAAGCATTCGAGGAATTGAAGAAGATGATCACAACAACTCCAGTTTTAGCTCTACCAAATTTTGAGAAGGAGTTTGAGCTTGAATGTGATGCATCTGGGCTGGGTATTGGGGCCATATTAATGCAAGAACGTAGGCCTGTGGCTTATTTTAGCAAGGCTCTGGGAAGTAAAAACTTGACAAAATCTGCGTATGAAAAAGAGCTTATGGCTGTAGCTCTATCAATTCAGCACTGGAGGCCGTATTTATTGGGGCGTAAATTCAAGGTTTTTTCAGATCAAAGGAGTCTTAAGCAGTTGCTACAGCAGCAAATCACTAACGGAAGTCAACAAAATTGGGTGGCCAAATTACTGGGCTATAATTTTGAAATTGTATATAAACCAGGATTGGAAAACAAGGGAGCTGACGCACTGTCCAGAAAATTTGAAGAGGGGGAATTGAAAAATATGATGTCTATACCGATTTGGATAGATAGCCAAACAGTAATTGATGAGGTTCACAAAGATGAGAAAATGAAGAAAATCATTGAAGACTTGAAGCAGGGGAGTAAGAACCGTCCGGGTTTCACTTATCAACGGGGAATTCTGTTTTATAAAGACAGAATAGTGGTGTCTCCAAATTCTGAGTGGACGGATAGATTAATCGAAGAATTCCACTCTACACCAAAAGGAGGACACTCTGGATTTCTGAGAACGTACAGGAGAATTGCAGCAAATATATATTGGCCGGGTATGAAAAATAAGATAATGAAGTATGTCCAATCTTGTGACACATGTCAGCGTCAAAAATATGCTACTACCACCCCGGGAGGTTTGTTGCAACCACTGCCAATACCAGAGAAGGTGTGGGAAGATATTTCTCTTGATTTTATCACAGGGTTACCAAGATCGAAAGGTTTTGAGGCCATATTAGTTGTAGTGGATCGTTTGACAAAATATAGCCATTTCATTGCCTTGAAACATCCTTATACAGCAAGAACCATAGCAGAGGTGTTTGTGAAAGAAATTGTGAGACTTCATGGGATGCCTAATTCAGTGCTTAGTGACAGGGATCCTTTGTTCATGAGTCTTTTTTGGAAAGAATTTTTTAAAATGCAGGGGACAAGGCTTCTTATGAGTACAGCGTATCATCCACAAACGGATGGACAATCCGAAGTGATAAATCGCTGCTTGGAGACATATCTAAGATGTTTCATTACTGATCAACCTAAAGGATGGGCTTTGTGGCTTCCTTGGGCTGAGTACTGGTTTAATACTACTTACCATATGTCAATTGGAACCACCCCATTTGAGGCGGTATATGGCAGACCACCACCGTCATTGATAAGAGGGGTTCAAGGAGAAATCAGGGTTGAGTCTGTGCAGAGAGAAATAAATGATCGTGATGAAGCCCTTAGACAACTCAAGAAGCATTTGATTAGAGCTCAAGAACGCATGAAGGGGCAGGCAGATAAACATCGACAAGATAGGAGCTTTGAAGTAGGTGAAATGGTATTTTTGAAGCTCAAACATCACAGACAACATTCAGTGGCAGCAAGAATTAGTCCGAAGTTAAGTGCTAGATATTATGGGCCTTTCGAAGTGGTAGAGAAGATTGGGGCAGTAGCTTATAAGTTGAAATTACCTCCAGAAGCAAGAATTCACCCTGTGTTTCATGTATCTTTGCTGAAGAAGGCAATAGGGAATTATAAAACCGAAACTTCTATTCCTACAGGGCTTGAGGATGACAGAGTGGAAGTGATGGAACCTGAATTAGTGTTGGCATCTCGTAGCTTGATTAAAGGAGGGAAGAGGACAAATCAGTGGTTGGTAAAATGGAAGGGGAAATCAGTAGAGGAGGCTTCATGGGAAGATGAACTGACTTTGAAGAGTCAATTCCCAGAACTCAGTCTTGAGGACAAGACTGAAATTGAAGGGGGAAGTATTGATAAGGCCCAAGGTAAACAGGAAAATGAACCACTGGCCCATGAGAACAAAGGAGGCCCAAAGAAATGGATTGTGTATGAACGTAAGAAGAAAAAGAATGCTGACGTGGCATGAAAGGTTTCTGAGGTTGTTAGAGGAGAGAGGGAGAATATTTTCTGTTATGTAAATAATGTTTTGGGAGGGGATGGGAGGGGAGAGAGATTTGGGGGTTGATTTGGATAGAGAACCTCATGGTTGCTTTATTAGGAGCTTAGCTCTGGGCAGAGAAAGGGATTATCCTTTTTCTGAGTTTCATTACTGTCTCGATTACATTTTCAATACAGAAATTTCTTACTTACCTGTGTGATTATTGCTTCATTCTATGTGGTTGATGTTTGAATCCTATTACATAGACACATATATATGATGTCAAACAACTAGTGTCAAATGAAAGCGTGAAAACTAATCACGACTTTTCCATGTAAAGGTAAATTATTAACATTAACTCCTTTGTTGTTTGTGCGCTCTAATATGTTCCTTGCGTGTGATGGTCCATTTTTTGTTTTTCACAGTTGAGAACTATCCTGTTAATGTCAAGAGAGAGATCTAAGAACTAAAATGGTTGTACAATAAGAAACTAAATCAAATGGACATTCACATGGACACACCGATAATGTGTAGTGAGCACTTGATATTATTAAGTTTGTTCTAAATTTATTTTCACAGTAGCCTTGCAAATAAATGGCTTTGAAGTTTATGTCCATAAAAGTATGAAAGAGAATATTGTTTGTAATTTATACTGAGGTTTCTTTCCTTCCCATGATTACAGACATATCTTCAGTCTCTCACCATTAGACTAGAGGAAATGAGAGTTAAAAGGCGTGATTCAGAACAGTGGATGCATCATCGCTTACTCCCACCAGAGCTCAGGGAGCGTGTGAGACGGTATGATCAATATAAGTGGCTGGCAACGCGTGGTGTAGATGAAGAAAATTTAGTTCAGAGTCTACCAAAGGATCTTCGAAGAGATATTAAACGTCATCTCTGTTTGGCCTTAGTGAGGAGGGTATGCTTTCAAAAACATGAAAATGAACTAAACACCGATAATGCCTGCTATCTGAAATGTGTGACTAAACAGGACCCGCTTTTCTCTGACAAACTAATGGCCAACTTGTAGTAATCTGTTCAATATTTATGGTTAATGGTTATATTTATAGCTGATCAATCACACCAGGTTATGTGTATATAGTACTTTCGCAGGCTCTTCTCTATTTCACTGACTGACTATCTAGATTTGCTTTGCAATTCTTTTAGATATTAAATCATGCAGTTCCTCTCTGAGATTTTCTGGACCTGATCTCTTTAGATTAACTTATCAAATTATGTTTGAACATCTGAGTTTGTTAATTCATTGATTGCTTTTCATGGATTTGTAGGTTCCACTATTTGAGAGTATGGATGAGAGATTGCTTGATGCCATCTGTGAGAGACTGAAACCATGTTTATTTACAGAGCATACTTACATTGTTCGGGAAGGAGATCCAGTTGATGAGATGCTTTTCATCATACGTGGTCGTCTTGAAAGTGTTACCACAGATGGTGGGAGGAGTGGATTTTTCAACCGCAGTTTTCTAAAGGAGGCCGACTTCTGTGGGGAGGAGCTTTTAACCTGGGCCCTGGATCCCAAATCTGGTTCTAATCTCCCATCTTCTACTAGAACAGTTAAAGCATTAATGGAGGTTGAGGCTTTTGCCTTAACTGCTGATGAGTTAAAATTTGTTGCCAGTCAATTTAGACGCCTTCACAGTAGACAGGTTCAACACACTTTCCGCTTTTACTCCCAGCAATGGAGGACTTGGGCTGCATGTTTTATTCAAGCAGCATGGCGTCGCTATTCTAAAAAGAAAATTATGAAGCTTCGTCAAAAGGAAGAAGGTGCTGATGAATCAGAAGGAACTCATGAAAATGTTGGTGGAAGTTCCTACAGCTTTGGTGCTGCCCTGTTAGCCTCAAAGTTTGCTGCACACACTCTTCGTGGTGTACATCGTAATCGACTTGCTAAGACTGCCAGGGAGTTAGTGAAACTACAGAAACCCCCAGAGCCTGACTTCTCTGCAGATGATGCCGACTAAAATTTTCATAAGTAACTACCCTCTTAAAATGCTCGTTTTCGTTGACTATTGTGATTGAATTTGTGAAGGAAGGTCGAAAGCAGTGTGTTATACAATTATCCTGGTTATGGTTGAGGGTTTCAAGACTTGTAATGACTCTTCCTCTGTTACCATGTAAATTATATAGTATTACATTAAAGCCCACCGGCTCTCATATTAGACCTGCCACCAGGCATGTAAACTGATATATTGTTCTCAAGTTTATTGTTGAAATTACTGGTTGGCACTTGGCAGAATCAAGTTCTGTCTTATTTATCATCCTTGAGTAATCCAAGTGACAATGCTATATGTTCCATGATCGCAAGTGTCTATCAGAACTCAAGTAGAATTTCATACATAGATTCCAATATTTATGATAGACAAAAGGAAGTACTTCTACAATACAGTATGTAAACCAAATTTACATCTAGTGTTTACTGCATGCAAAAAATAAAATTTTCAAGATAGGCATTGAGGACCGATAATTGGTCAGTAGTTGAATGCGCCTTACAAATTACAAAACAATGACAATAAATTACAAAACAATATTAAGTAAGGATAGTGAGAGGGGAAGAAGAGTACTAAACAAGAATACAAAATATGGATACTAGAAATACATTTGATGACTTAAAACAAAAAATCAGAGCTACAAGATATCCCAGACTAAAAATTAATGCTTCAACTTAGAAATGATCATGAGACTCAAATTGGCAAGGTTCAGTCAATTTTCACTGACGAATAGATCAACCTTGTGAACCAGAAGCATGCATAGAAACCAATTGTACCCGTCAACACAAAAAAAGCATATGAAAGCAGCAGCATGTACCCGAAGTACAAGATTCCAGATATTGGTTTTGAGATCTCAAGTTTTGTGAAGAAGTAAAATACAGCATATAGGAAAAGGTAGAGTGCAGAGGAACCTGAAGTCAGATATGACCTCCACCACCAATTGTAGTCTTCACTACACAGCTGAAAGTAGCAGAGTACAACTGTGATCTCAGCACAGGTGATGATGAGGATGACGAACACAATGAACAGGAAACCAAATATATAATAAAATTGATGTAACCAGATTGATGTGAGGATGAAGAAAAGCTCAATGAAGACTGCTCCAAATGGGAGTATGCCTCCTATTAGAATAGAGCATGAAGAATTCATGTACCAAGCCTGCTGTGGAATCTGCCTAGCTATCTTGTTTGTCTTTACAGGATCCTCAATTGGTGGCTTTTTGTTAAACCCCACAAAACCACCAACAAATACGAGTGGAAATGAGATGCCAAACCATAATAAAAGAAGAGCAAACATTGTTTGAAATGGCACAGCCCCAGAAGACCTCTGCCCCCAAATCAGAGCATTGAGCACAAAGAATGCCGTAAAGGCAGTGGCAGGAAACATAAAGGCTGTTCCGAAGGAGATTTTCTTCCATTCTGTTCCCTTGAACATCTTGTAAAGACGCCCTGAAGTATATCCTGCAAACAGTCCCATCAATACCCAGAGCAAGAGCATGGCTGTCATCAAACCTCCTCTATTTGAGGGAGACAGAAATCCAAGGGCAGCAAACATCATCGTCACAAGAATCATCCCAAAAAACTGAACACCTGTTCCAACATATATACACAGTAGATCTGAGTTTGGTGGAGGCCTGAATACATCCCCATGGACAAGTTTCCATCCTGTCTCTTCTTGTGCTTCTTCTTGTGTCTCTAACTGGTTGTACTTAGAAATATCACGATAAAGCGTCCGCAACATTATCATAGCCACCATGCCCGAAAGGAAAAGTACAATCATCAAAGAATTGACAATTGAAAACCAGTGAATCTGGTCATCGGCCATTAGAAGATAGGTATCCCAGCGATATGCCCACTTCACATCACTTGCCTACAAGGTAAAAATTCCACAAAGTAAAAAAATCAACATCTAAATCCAATTCTTGGTAGCATTCTACTCTGGTAATGCAATGGCTATGAATTGCGGTAACTAACCTCAAACTCAACATCATAGGTAAAAATGATTTCTTTCTTGTCTTCAACCTCTTGAGGAGATTCAGAGCTGGTGACTAGCTTTTTGGCATGGGGATCACAGGTAGTTAAGCGGGTTTTCTCATTCCATTCTCCTTCGTATTCATGCTTTACACTGGATTCATAGGAATAATTTCAATGTACAAGTATTATAAACCACGTAATTAATAGATCAGCACAAAACTACTTAAACAACCACGTGGATAAGAATTACAATACAACCTGAATGGTTTAACCTCAAATCCTACAATCCTTGATAATCCTAGCTCTGGATCACTATGATACTTAACCACAAATGCTAAGTGGTTGTTGATAAAATACTTGTCCTCTTTGATCTGTCAGCATATAAGAGGTCAAAACGAAATTAAAATAATAGTGAAGAACAGTCAGCACTCAGTTAGCTTGTACATACTCCAGAATACTGTCCCTTAAGACCAACAAGGAAGCCATGCAGATACACCATGGAGGATTCCTGATCAAGCCTTCTTATAGGAACAACCAAAGGAAGATTGTCTAGAATCCTGCAACAATGCAAGGATAAATATCCTTTTGTCACAAAGACATTATTGCCACAAAGTTGCATGAGATATAAGCTTCAGGGTCATTAGTGCCTCACATGTTCACCCGATATTCATCATCTATCATCTCTTTGAACTTTCCGGCCGTTTTCTCATCAAGAATTAGACGACAAACAACATTGCACAGTTGTGGTTCTCTCATTTTAAACTGGAGGAATTAAAATGCTTCAATATATATTTAGTTGTGAAACGTAATAAACAAAAGGTAAAAAGCTAGAACCAAAATATTTAAACCAACCACATAGGGTGAGTTTTCAATGCGGTCACCCCGGAGAACTTCCCCCAGATTTTCTGCGCTGTCAACAATGCGTTTTGGGCGACAATAAGGCAGTGAATAGTATGAGTAAGGAAGCTGTGTTTTCGTGGAAGACAGTTTGTTGACTTTAACCCTCAATGGATCTCCCTGTCAACAATGAACACAACATATAATAATAGATAAATATTACAGATTAGGAAAAACCATGGCATGAATTGATTGGATTAGGAGAATAAGCTGTCAGCTATGTCTAAGAAATGCAAAATATCGACGCAATCAAAGAATGACAAACATACAAGGTTAGGCAAAGTTTCACACACGCCTTATTCCTAAAGTCTCACCATTGCTGCCATTGGCATTACATGCTGCAATCATGTTTAGTATAATTTAGCCATGAAAACAAGGGGATACTCTCACCATTTCTGACCACTAATCCAAATCCCATCTCATCACACAATCTAAATTGCTCACCCCCTCAGCAAATGAAAATGAATCAAGTAAGGATCTACAACCAATAACGTAAAAAAGATAGGATAGAGAAACCATACAACCAACGTGATCCATAACTGATCTAACATAGAGGAAAGAAATGAACAAGCCTAAAATATTTGAAAAAACAGATTTTGAGGGAAAAGAAGAAATGGAACGACCTTCCAGAAATCCTCAGGTGCAACACCAGGGAGGTAAAAACAGGTACTTTGGTGGGCAATCAGTAGAATGCAAATGCACACATAGATGCATACGTCACGAGCCAGAGGCTCTCTCGCCATTTTTTCCAAGCAACACACGCTCTCTTTCCCTTCCCCTGTTCTGTTCTGCGGCGATTTTTTGGTCAAATTTTATTTTGTTCGTTAAAACACAAATGTCGTTTTTTTTTTTTTTCAAAAAGTAGTTGCGACAGCAAAAATTGTGAGACATTCCCAACCCATGACCATGAACGAGATCATGACGTGCGGCACTGAATGGATCACGATGTTTTAACGGTGATTAGCCAACGCTCACTCATGTTAATTACATTACTTGGCTCTGGAACCATTCGTTGGTTCATGTTATATTATGGCACCATGTGCAACTCCATTCACCTACTTTCTATCAACTCTACATTTACGTTAATAATAAATTTAGTTAGAGTCCATCAACCATATAACTTTTATACTTTCTTCTTACCATAAATTGTAATAATTTATTAATTTTGTAATTATTATCTCAACAGTGGTTGTATATAAAATTGAAGATCGCACAAAAATATAAAATTACTAGTTGGTTATATTTAACTTCAAATCTAATACCTAGTTGTATTTTCATAATTTAATTCTCAAAATTTACCCATGCATGTTATTATATACAAATTTTTGTTTAATTTGAAGTTAGTATTGTTTAGAGATCAAATCGTGAGTTAGATCAATTGCACTCATCGACCTCATTTTATGTTATGAAATAGAAGATTCGAATTTTACTATCATTAGTTTCATTTTAAAAGTTTGAATTGAATTCAAAATTATGAATTGTGAAATGCATCTAAATTATATTCAATGCTATGATTTGTAGCATTTGTTTCACAAAAGAAATTATAACACTTTTGATTAAATTGAGAGGGATTAGATTTGATATTATAGTAGACGGTGTATTTATAAAATTAGAACAGATGAACTTTTTTTTAAGAAAAATAATCCAAAAAATGAAACTGCAACTGCCTCTTCTGCATTCAATAATTTCGATTTTTTTTGGTATGGATGGTTAAATTATAAACGCTTGTTTAAGATATAAGCATAGATAAATAAATGTAGTTACTAAGTACTCAGTATTCATATATCAGACCTATAAATATGAAAAAATTAACAAGGTTAATATCAATAACTTTGTTTTTAATAAAAAAAATAAAATTTAAGTACAATCAGTAAAAGGTTTTACACTATTAATCAATTAGTCATTGACTTTTACGTAATATGATTTTTAATATTAACTATTTAGTTTAGATAAATAAATTATGGCCTCATTTAGATATTTTTTTATAAACATTTATATGAGAAAAAAAGAAAATAAAAAAAATTATAAACTATATGAGAAAAACATTTATATTTGTATAAAGCTTTCATTATTTCAAAAATTCTTTAAATTTAATCCCAAACAAGCAATTTAATATGTTACACTTTAAATCCAAAAGTTGTTTTTTTCTTTCATAACTTGTCATGCAAACACACTATCAAGAGCTTATGCTTATCAAACATGCACAGTTTGTGGGTTAGATTGCACTTATGAAAAACATCACCAGTACATTGCATTTATGAATTCAATACATGAATAAAAATTGAAAGGAATAGTTACACAAAAACCCCTTCAAAGTTGAAGAACAAAAGTTGTATCAATTCCTTAAATAGATAATTCCAAGAGCTGGTTCGGTGGGGGAAAATTCCGACATTTAGCAGACTTAGAATCAATCCACATTTTGGAGTGGTCACAGACTCACATCAGAAGTAAATGTCAGAACATTCTTAAATCAAAGTAATGCCAAGCAAATCAAATATGTTTCAACACATGATCCTCAATTATGTGGGCAGTATTCAGCTAACAAATGTTTCTAATAATGAGGTTGTGTCCACGTTTTTCATACTTCAATACTCTTCTCCTCAATAACACTACAAACCCCAATTGACCTAAGAAGACATTACGATGGAGGGAAATGGCTACGAAAAATATTAGCTATCTTCTTGTACAGGTGATTCTAGCATTCTTACAGTGCGAGGAAGCATAAACTCGGCAAATAGAGGAAAATGTGATGATGGATAATACCCATCAATGTTATCGTTTACCACTTCACATGAAACAGGAATCAGAGATCTACCTCTGAAAAGGATCCAATCAATGTGAAGATCCTGTGTTTGGCGATCCCAGCAGAGGCAAAGGGCTCTAAAAATTAGCTTCAGGAATTCAAGTGTTCCTTGTTTGTCACCTAATAACACCAGATCTTGCTTAGTAATTTACTGGTCAAATCATTAAACAAAATGGTAGTGTAGAAAGCACAGGGAAAAAGTACCCTTGAATCCATGATACGTGCGGATTAGGGAAACATTTTTCCTCACACGAGCACTAGGCCATGCATCCCGCATATCCCCAACAACACCATGCTCTCTGCACTCGGTTACATAAATATACAAGTTACAAACTACTCTACAATGGTCTGTAACTCTTCAGAGATCCAGTGTAAATGAATAACAAATATAGGTGATCAAGCACTAAAGGAAATATGAACTTGAGTTTATAACATTATCTTGATATAAAATTGATAGTGATGATAACATACAATTGAAATATATGTAATAAGAAACTACCTTGATCTTCCAAGAAGAAAGCGTCCAGTAGTTGATTCCTTTTGTGTATTAAATCCTCCACAGTACACAACTGGTAGGCTAGGGGGTAAGGATGCAATATGCTGCCATGTAAGCAAAGCACTTCGCCTTCGGGCACGAGGACTAAACTCATCCATGTTTGTATTTACTATCTGAAATGAGAATCCAGGTGGCTCAACTCCTTTCAGTTGAAATGTGTGGACATCATGTCAAGGAACCAAGAGATCCAAAGATTGTGCAACAAAAATATAACAAAGTTTGAAAACAATTTGTAGTTATGATTTCATTTTGAAATCATAAGGATATAGCCCATGTTGCAATGCAAGGAACTTCAGAACCCCACGAAATGCTTCCAGGCACGGAGGGAGACTCAGACAACCAAAACGTTCCACCTTCTAGAAGCTCCACCTTTATTTAATGGGAAAAAATGGGTAAACCGATTAGTTCTTCAACCAGTTAAATAAAAATTAATACCAGTAATACTCACAAAATCTCATACCTTTTCCTTATCATAGAAGATGGTGCAATGCTCGTCAGTGGAGTCTTGGGGCCCTTTCCGTGATATCCCAAACTGATCATAACCTGAGTATTTTATCAAAATAGAAACGAAGAAATATAAGTACAAAAAAATAAAAAAATAAAAAATACTTGAGCCAATTTGAGCTCAAAACTTTCCACTTGTTCAAATTAAAGGACTAATTGATAAAAGAAAATAAAGAAGTCACAGGAGAAAGATAGAAATATTTCCTGAAACAACTAGTACATAGCAGTGCTTACACTTATCTCCGAGAGATTGTTGACCGAAATTCCAGATACTTTGATAATTTTATAACATGTGAAATCCTAATAAATTTCTAAATTACTTCTCTCCCATTTCCCCTTGAATTTAAACAAAACAACTTTTGAGTGTATCTTCCTATTTACAGACATAGATTCTTTTGACATTCTTAATACACTACTCAGTCATATTATCAAAACAAAATAATCTGTTGGACAGACATCACATAAGAACATCTGAGTAGGAAGCATTAGTTTACATAAAATTTGAGCAGATTTTAAGCAACATTATGGACAACAGCACCTTATTGATATATTTCTCTTCATAACCAGCATCTATATATATAATCCTTCAATAAGGCTATGGCTATGGCCTATGGAACATACATTATGTCATATATGCATGTAATGAATCTAAGGACAGAAATTAATCCTTTCGAGCTGAAGAACGACTTATTCAGAAGGTACTTCACCTGGCAAACCTTGCTGGAGAAAATCCAATTGTGTTTTCACTCCTGAATCCAGATGAACATTAATACAAAGAAGAGGATAAGTAAATTGAATCACAGAAATCAAAAGAGATACCATCGACTAAAAAAACTCCAGATCAATCAATCTGAGTAGAAAGGGGATATAATGATGAACAAAGCAGAGCAAAAATCTTCAAATCAAACCATGAATACCACCCCTACCCTTAAAAAACCGCATTTCTACTGGAAAAGAACTTGTATATTGAAAGTAAGCTCCGTCGAGAAGGATCAAGAATAATCTCGGAAAACCTTAACCCAAATCGCAAAAACAAAAGCAGGAAAGCAAGCATTTTGAGCAACCCCAAGTGAAAATCAATAGGAAAAACCTTGTTGGGTACAAAGGATGATGGGTGAGTAACTGGTAATAACGCTTATGCACAAATCCCTTCTCTTCTCCCACGAATTAGGACTATCATGTGGCTCATCATCATAGAGATTGAAGGTCATCACAGTCAATGATACACTCATTTTTTTTTCTTCTCTGTCTCTCTCTCTCTCTCTCTCTCTCTCTGCCCTTCTCTCTACTTCATAGTTGATCGATTGAAACGAACAACGAATGCTTCAAGAAAGAACAAATGTTGAACAGGATGTCATGGTCTTATATAGATATAATATATATAATCTTTGTCGTAGAAGCACCCTTTCGAAAAAAAACACCAGACAGGGAAAAAGGGGAGATCTTTTTCTTTTTCCTTTTTTTATTTATTTTGGTAGGTGTGAAGTAAAACGCGAACTTCAACTTCAACTTATATTGTGTGTGAAATGAAGTTAGTGTGGCGAGGTGAGGTAAGGTTCTTTGCCATGCCTTCTTCCATTTTCCATGTTCTCCTCTGCCTGCGAAACCAAAATAATAAACAAACAGACACACTTAATTTTATTTCTTCATTTTAAAGAATTAACATTTATTACATCAGTTCCTGTAAATTTTAATTTTTTTTATGTCATTTTTATGTGAAAGATATTGATTTCAAGGTTTTCTAATTTCTCCTAGTTAGGGTATCATCTCAGAAGGAGAAGAATCCAAGTAAAAGAAAGAAAAATTAAGACCAAAGCAAGAACAACTTAATATTAATAAAAAAATTAAAATGTTGTCTAAGTTGGAAAAATTATATAAATAGGATTAAATATATTTTTATCTTTGTAAAATTGTTATATTTTGATTTGCGTTCTAAAAATGAGACAGACTTTGTTATAGATCTATTCAAAGTTTGGTCACTAAATATTTTAAATATGTGAAATAGTTCGTGAAATAAATTATTTTTTAAAATATTTATTATCAACCCAAAAAATTGTAAATATAGAGTTTTATAAAAATAAAAATAAAATAAAAAAATTATTTATAGTTTTGAGATAAAATTTATTAAATTAAAACATCTTACATTAAAATTTATAAAAATTCAATAAGATTTATTTTTACTTGAAAATTTCTACAATTTTCTATCTCAAGCTCGAGATAGACACCTCTTTTTTTGTCTAAAAAAAGCGAGAACACCTTTTTATGTAAAACTTAATTTGAAAAAAAATATTATATATTCAACTCTTTCTAGCGTTAATTGTATATCCTTAAAATATCAGTTCTACAAGCATTACTTTCTACTCTTCTTAGAATCAAACTGAAGTAATGTTTAATATTTCGCTATAAAAAAATTTCTCTCTCTTACGTCATCTTCCATAGACGAATTTAAAAAAAAAAAAAATCAAAATAAAGAAGGTATTTTAAGTGAAAATACCAATAACTCATTTTGAACATATTTATTTTCCTATCGCTAAGAGTATATTTTCTTCATTTTCTTGACATTATTTACGCCGTGATTTAATTGTGCATAAGAAATAAAAGTCATAAAGAATTATTGGCAACGCGTTAAAAGCAAAAAGGTTTTTGTATTAAAAAAAGTTCGAATACACTAAAACATTTTCCATACCTTTAAACATCTTATTCGTATACTAATAACCAAACCAAACCCCATTGAAGCAGAAACGTTACAAGATGAGCTTATCCCGTCTTGTGAGTTTCACACACCCTGAACCAGATTTGAAGATTTCATTTGGCATTTGAAGCATTTTTCAAAACCCATTCCACTAAAGTAGCAATGCCAAATCCTGTTGCTGAGCGTTTCTTGTCATTCCATACAGGACCAGCCATGTCAATATGCATCCATTGAACCTTTTCATTAACAAACTGTAAAGGGAAATTCTTTCAGAAACCCCCCCTAACATAAATGTGCAACAAGACTACACAACAAGAAGCCAGACAATAAGAATCACACGCTGTCCATATTTTCAATGCAGCTATTTTTTTTCCTGCAATAGTTCTCCTTAAATAAATAGTTTGTATATGATTTTTTTAACAGTTCATGTGCCAGTGCACACTTTACGTGGAACACTACTTGTCTGATATCAAATTTAGCATGGCATACAGCACAATCACTAGGAGAAACATGCAGTGAGAAAATAGCAGTATATCATTCAGATGTTATTAATCCTCCATAGTCATAACTTCCCAACAAGTTTGAGGAGAAAAAGATTTAAGAATAACATGAGTTATATCATGATTAAGCTGAAGTGCATACCTGTTTTAAGAAGAGAGCGGCAATAATAGCACCACCTTGTCGACCACCAGTATTCACCATATCAGCCACTACTGATTTCATTGTTTCCCAATAACTTTCCTCTAATGGCAACCTCCATAGTTTCTCCCCACTCACATCAGAAGCTTCAAAAACTTCCTTTGCTAGGTCATCACTGGGTGTAAACACACCTTCAAAGACATAGATTGCAATAGTAATCAATCAGAAGCATTTTCACAGATATATCTTTTAGGTCCAGTCTCTAGAGCTTATTTCTTCTATTGCCCCAAAATAGTACAAGTGTTAAGAGCTTTCAGTGCAGACTAAAACAATGGGCCTTTTTGTGATTCGCAAAAAATATTGGTATATAGTCCATGAATGATGTATTAGTTATTAATTATAATTACCTGCAATTGAGGGTCCAAGAGCAACTACGCAGGCCCCAGTTAAGGTTGCCAAGTCAATAATCTGAAAAACAGTTGACCAACCTATTAGTATCATTCTAAAAACAAACAATTTTCAAGCTAGGTAAGTTGAAACAAAAATAAGCCAACAGATTACAAGTTTGTAAATACAAAATGGCCAAGCTAGCACTTTTCTGCATTTTTTGTATACAGAACTGAACTTACCCACACTATTTTAAAGAATGTGTATATTCATCAAATGTTTGAATTTTTATTTCAGCCAGACAAATTAGAATTGTTCTCACAATTTCTCTACCTCTTGTTAAAAAATGATTAATCACCACATTTATCAAGCATACCAAAACTATCAAATGCTAAGCAAATTTTGGGGAAGGATACCTGGAGCATTTATGATTTATAAGGATATTACAGGCCTAAAAGCAAATTCATAGTTGTATAAGGTTATACCTTTGCAACGCCTTGGTTACAAGCATATACCAGAGCATCTGCCAGGGTAAGTCTACCTTCAGCATCAGTGTTGTTAACCTACAGAAGATGTTAAGCCCATCAAATCCTTAGTACAAAAAAACCAGGTAGACTACTACAAATGTTCTGTTAAATAACTTATAGACGTCAAAACTCCAATTCATTGATTATCGGTTGCATCATGTGCATATATTTATCAACAGTTAGTACCAGATGTGGCAAAAACAGATTTGCAATACTGAATGATGTCTGAAAAAGATGGTAATACTAGTTTCCATCCCAAAACATTATAAACAATGCAAGGGAAACTTTCATCAAAAGGAAATAACGTATGCATTTCATTCAAATGTTCAAATAATTATTCCAAAATGCACCAAGCACATTTTCATTAATCATTATATAAAAATTACAATTGGACACTTATGATACGTTTGTTTTCAAAGTAGGAATACAGCAAAGTAATGGTTGAAACAGAACCAAAATCGTCCAAATACCATGAGTCAGTATGACAAAAAATGTTAAAACTTCAAAATCCTCAAACTAAAAAAATATATATTAAATTCTCACCTCTATAGTCTTTCCATTTGAAGCTGTGACAACATCTCCAGGCCTCATACCTGTTCCACTTATCATATTCTCACAAGCAGCAACAATAAAATGAACCTGCACATGCAGGATGTTTTAATCTGGCCACTGCGTGCATTGTTATTATTACACCAGAAAAGACACTACACAATATCCATTAGAACTTTAAACAGATCAAACCATAGGAAATTAACCATCAGAAAAGAAATGAACACTATTTCACAGGTTCATTTTAGAAAACATTAGCTGAACCTGAGACAGAAATTGCAATCGGTTTTATGTAATCAGCCCATGATTTGCTACATCCCACCCATCACCAATTCCCTTACGTAAAGCCTTGACATAACATTGAAATATAGAAAGACACAGGAAGGATCCTATGTGCTAATCAATCAAGTCAAATGTTATTCTGTGGAAAGAAAAAGTTGTGACCCATGACATAAATGACTGACCTCCACCCCTGGAGGTTTGATTAGACCAAGTGCTTTTGCTGTGCCTAAAACTGCAGCTGAACCACCCATATCAAATTTCATGAGTTCAATTGAACAGCCAGGTCCAGTCTTGATGTTGTAGCCACCACTAATAATATGTAGACAACATCATAAGAAAACAAATTAAAAAGAATAACAATGTTTTGACTATAATGGCGAATATTGTATGATAATAATATGAATAAATTAAAGAAATAAGACTTTTAACATTATGGAAAATTATGCAAATATATTACTTACATCGACAGGTCATTTGTATTGATATGAATATCAAATACAAAATTTGAAAATAAATTCAAATTAAGATCGATTAAGATTACAATAATCTTAAAATTTAGTTTATCAAAATATTTTCAATTTGACACAATATTGCAATGCATCAAGATGACGAAATTAATTCAAAATTGAAATTAAATTTGAGACATAGTATTTAAAAGGAATACTGAATTGTAAATAAAAAATTGAGATTGAATGTTCCATGCAGGAGAAGTCGTGAATGTGGCTTAATCAGGATAAAATTAACTTCATAAAACACTATAATGAGGACTCAGAATTTATAATGACTATCGTTGACACAAGTAGCTAATAAGCTAGCCAAAAGCTAAGAAGATAACTTTTAATTGAAAGCTAAAAATTATTAAGCTAACTTATTATTAAAGCATTTGATTTATTAGTAGTTTAACTAGTTGATAAATGTAAAATAACACAAAAAGAAAATATGCTAACACAATGTTTTATTTTGTAAAAAATTACTTTATAGTTTTAGGTTTTTTAGTTAGTTTTGAACTCTTATTGCATTTTGCTTACAGAATAGATATTGATTCAAAATTTAAAAAATAGGGTAAATGATATAATAATTAAAACAAAAAATGAAATATTAAAGGGAATCATAAATGGTCAATTTTTCTGAAGTATTGAAGATAAAATAATGGGGTAAAAATGTAATATACTCAGAAGCTGCTTCAAGTAGTATTTAAAAGAAATGCTAGAATATGATGATATGCATGGATATCATAGAGTATCAGGTACGATTCGTATTCTATACAATGACACGTTTATTCTAAAAAAAATAGGATCCTATACATGTAAGATATATAATAAAAAAATTCATGAAATATAATAACTATAAACTACAATCATACAAATCATATTTGTGAAAATAAAAAATATAAACAATTATCATTATAAAACACTTCCTGTTATTTACATATAGGAATAAGACTACCATTCTCATTAATTTCTTGAAATATTTCATAACAACCATTTTTTTTATTTAGTTTATGAAAAATAATATTTATATGTTTCTATTTTATAGATACGTATATGTTTCTTAAACTTTTATTGAATATAAATTATTTAAAAGTTGACATTTAACTGATGTACGCATCGGTAAAATATCGAAAAGTATTATTTGTAAAACAAATAAAAGTATTGATGCTTCATATGTTTGGATACTTCATTGATACGTATAAGTGAATTATTGGTTAAGTATATCCGACACGATACGTATTGAATACGGATTCGTGAAGCAAATTGAAGTATCGGTGCTCTATATGGTCAAATAAACTTATAAACTAGTTAAAGAAGCTACGAGTTAGTAAAATGTCTTCCAAACACACTCAATACAGGGGTGGGAAGAATGAAGCAATCTACTTAATATCTCATATCAAAGATTTATCTACCAGCAGTACATCAGCATAAACTTTATAACCATTTGAAGCAATAATACCAGAATCAAAATCATGGAAGATACAGGAGGGAAAGCTGTTTCAGATTGATCAGTCTCGTATTGAAGTTATGATACACCAATTGATCACTAGGGAAAATCTCAGCAATTACCTGTCAAAAGTCAAACCTTTTCCTACTAAAGCCAACTTGACATTGACAGGTCCACTCAGTGGTTTGTAACATAGATGGATAAAATGAGGAGGATTTGCCGAGGCTGCAGCAACACCCAGATAGGACCCCATTTTCAATTCCGCACATTGTTCAGCATTTAATATTTTAGCAGTGAAAACATCACTGTAGGTAGAAGCAATATTAGCTGCCTCTTCTGCCAACACCCCTGAGATAAACAAATTAACAAGCACAGATCAATTTTTAGAGAAGCATAATTTCCTCACAGATATGAAACTGGCCTACTGCCTGCCGAACAATACATCATATCATATAAATTGGAAGGGTCATGTGAACCTGGTGTGAGCACATTAGCAGGAGAATTTACAAGCTCCCTTCCAAAGATAATTCCGGAAGAAACGTCTCCTGCGTACTTAAGTTTCTTCTCCAGTTCAGGTCCTGTCCCTAGACCAATAATGTCAATGGACTGAAGCGCTGGTTTTTTTGCTTCTGACTTGTATCTATTATCTTCAAATAATCCCAACACAGCCCCTGACACATTTCAAGCCCACACATCGTAAGGCATAGCTACAAAATCACAAGCTTGTATACATATCAAACAAATATAAACCACAAATTCAATACCAGACGCAATTGCATAAGCAGTGCTAAGCTTTGATTGTGCAGAGAGTCCTTCAGAAGAGGCAAGAACAACGGCAACACTGTTTGCTTGAGAAGACTTAGCCGCCGCAACTACTGCCTCCCCAAGACCCTTAAAAGGTGCAGGAGTGGAAGGTGACTGTCCAAGACCAATCAAGCCAACCCTCTTTGATCCAAGTCCTGTAATTCTAAGAACAGTTGATTGACCAACTTTGCCAGAGAAATCCTCTTCAGAAGAGGCTTGAGCTAATAGACCACCCAACTTTGCGTCAATCTTGCTCAAAATCACATTCTCAAACCTCGAGTTTGCATCTCTAGCCAAATCTTTCTCCGTGACCCCCACTGCCAGAATGTCCCCGTTCCATTCCGTCACATCAACATCCTTAGCAGCAAAACAGATCTTCCACGAAATTTCACAAACACAAAACACGCATTTTCAGCATCACACCAGTTACGACACACAAATACAAAATAAATAAAGCAAATACACCAGTACATTTCAAATCCAAATTTAATTAGGCACGCCCCAAAAAATTATATTGAAAGTAAACCCCACAGCAAGAAAATCCACAAGTTATGAACTTTTGACATCGTTAAGCACATGCAAAGTTAAACAAAACATGGGGAGATTAAGGGAGAAAAGGGGGTTAACACATTCTGACCTTGGGGGTTTCGATATTCGAAGGGTGTGTGAGACCAAGAGTGGCACGTGGCAGAGTTTGCGACATGAGTTTCCTCGCCGGAGAACGCAGAGGGAATGCAGCGAAGTGGAATCGCGAGGCGAATCTAGCGAGAAAGGGAGAGGACGAAGAGGTTGTGAAACAAACGAAGATGGTAGCAATGGCTGCCATTTCGATGTGAAGTGTCCAAGTTATTTATAATGAACCATCACCCTCTTCAATCTTATTTTCCTTCAATTTTTAGTCCTAACAATTTTATATCTTCCTGCAAAAATAAATGGTTTAATATTTTTTTCACTAAATTTTTACAAATTTCTGTCTTTGGTATTTTCAATATTAATATTGTTTTGTCTTATATGTAATTTTAATCCGTAATTTTGTAAATGATGAGTAATTAATAATTTATTACGAAAAATTATCCTAAAAAATATAATAAAAAATCAATTGCAATATTTTATGTTAAACAGAAGTAAATAAATTATATTTATTGAAAAAGACAATAATAATTGTCATGAGACAAATTGAATTATATTCTCTCTATTTATTATTTTACATTGTTTTAGTCGTTCTTGCTTATTGTCCCTTTTGACTTTCCTAGATTCTTTTTTTTCATTGGATGCTTTGTCCTTACTCTCCATGTGTCAATTGCCACACCATCATTTTCGTGCCAAAAATAATATTCTATGATGCATTTGTGTATTTTTTCCAATTTAAGGAATAAAATTATATGGGTTAAAACATAAATTTCCACATTTTATGATAATATAATTTTCCTGTCCCTTTGAAAACAAAAATTGCAATAACACGAAAATATAATTGTTTTAGCAATAAAAAAAATTTAAAGATAAGTTTATGGGAATATATGTATGCCTCCCTAATATTTTATTTATTTCCATTAGAATAAATATTTATTTATATAATTAAAATTTAAGCTTAAATTACCATGTTTTATAAAATATATTTTTTTATTTCTTATGTTTTTTCCACATTTGTTATTCTTTTTTCTTCCATCGCGATTATGTTGCAATGCTGAATGAATACAGTAGTTAATTCAATTGCTGTATCTTGTAAATTACGTTGCTACTTTGAATTATTATTAATAGAAGTATAAAAAATTAATAAATCTTATTTTGTAAAACTGTTTCTCTGTTAATTAAGATAATATTCTGTACTTTAATTATTCATATTTTAGCATGTGATATAAAATATTAATATTGTCAATGTATATAAATTACTTATGTGTTAATTATTATTTCGAAATATTATCTATTTTATAATTTTCATTTAAAAGACATGCCAATTAAAAAAATAAGAATATATAAAAATTATTATTAATCTCTATTTTTAAATGATGTAAGATTTATTAAATTTTATTTTATATAAAAATAAAAATTAAATATATATAAATAAAAATTTGACTAAATTATAAAGTAATTTTAATTTATAAAAAAACTCATTCAAATATCATACTAAGATTTTAAATCAGATAAACACTGAAGTCAGTATGATTAATGTTAACATTAACCAATTTATATATTGGAGTTCCATAATTCAATTATTTAAACCATATAATTCAATATGAGAGGTTGAGGAGAAATTTGAGTTAGATTGACTTACTATTTATTTTTATAAATTATTTAGTTATCTAACTGAAGATGATATTTTATAAAATATTATAAATTTTATATTATTTGTTGTTTTATTCTTTATATATTTAATCCATAATGATAATTTCCAAAAGGAATTGGTTAACAACTCAGTATTCTGTTTACTAGTTATATTGATTTATTTGATAGAATAAATATTAGTTATTTACTTTCTTTTATTGTTATTTATTCTTTATGTATTTTATCTTTTAATTTTGATAATGAGTCAAATACAATCCAATTTTATTATTTGTATTGAATAATAAATAAGTTGAAAATTTATTAAAATCCATATTAATAAATAATTAATATTTTTTTATTTTTAACGGTTATTCGATTATGTACAGTAACTGTCGCAAAAAAATATATATATATATATATATATATATATATATAATTGAAATGCCTAATTCAAAAATATAAATTTTCTCTAATTGGAATATATATATATATATATATTTAAAAATAAATAAAATATAAATTTATATTACTTCTAGCTCTAAACTTACTCTTGTCGAGGTTTATGATCTATTCATATGTAAACACACGAACATCACAGATTAAAAACACATACGGTAAACTAATAATTCAATTTAAGTATACAAGATACAAAACATGAGATAAAAAAACATAATTCAACTTTAATTTTTCATATATCACATGTATACGGGTTCACGTTCACGTCACAGATACTAAACCACTCTCGGAAGACTAGATATTGAAATAGATATAAAAGATTTACATCTATCTCATCACAACTCCCTTAAGTACATGATACAAAAGTGTTTAATTCGGTATATACACTCACGTGATTCTAGTTATAGGTAGAGTTAGAATATCTTCTAGAGTCTCAAATCAACATTTATACATACAACACTACACACATGAGAATATCTTTGGTAATTCTCATATCACAACATAATATTTTTCAAGGCACATAATAACATTCAATACATCTCATTTCATATTCATAATATGTATTTTAATAGCTTAAGACACAAACACATCATTATTACGTTATAACAAAATATATATTTTTTTAATTTGACATCTACTTATTATTTTGATCATAATTTTTACTATAGACATCTTTTTTAACTATTTTTTATTTTATTGCATTCTTTAGTTTTAGGTTTCGATTTGCATATATAAAATGCTAAATTTGAAGTATAAAACTATTTTTTATGATTTTTCGAAAATTGTTAAGCAAATTTGAAAGTGTTAAACGAATTTAAAATCCTCCAAGTGAAATTTTGATAGAATGAAACTTCAAACAATGCCCAAAATTCGTTGGGTGGATCTAGAAACGTTGAGCGAATTACAAACGCTTTCGATACTGTCTTAAATTTGTTGAGCGAATTTAAATCAATTGGGTGAATTTGTGACAATAACATACTACATAATCGACTCAATATATTATTTCTAATGTTTCAAATCAAATTAATTATAATCCTTATCCTCCATATCATAAATTCATTCCCTAATTTCAATTTAAGAACAATGTATTCATATAAAAGATTATATTTTTCAATCTCATATAAATCAATTATACATTTAGATTCAATATAATCATCATCAGCCAACACATACATAATCACACAATTCAAATTCTTGAAACTTAAACAACGTGACCAAGTCACCTTCATAATCCAAATTTTATAGCCTATAGTACTATAAAAATTGAAGAATAACTAACTTCTTTTACCTCAATATAGTGTCTTCAAATTAAAAAACTTCAAAAACTCCTAAATTTTTAAGAAAATAGATCATGCTTACAAAAAAACTCAAATTAATAAAATGAGCATATCATAATGTTCCTAAACTAGTCAAAATTCATTTTTTCACAACAAGTTGACATGCAACCTCTTTAAGACCCACATGCAGACCTAAATCTAAAATATGCAAAATTGTCTAACATTAGGAAAGAAAAAACTTATTTTATTCAAAATTTCGATCAGATAAAATTGATCTCATCTCCTTCAGAAACACTAAGGTATGCTTTAATCTAGAAAAATATGAGATGAAGTAAGAAATTTGGAGATAAGATAGAGAAAAGAGAATTATAGAAAGATGATAATTTTGTGAGAATGAAATTTATTTATAATTCTTTTTAACTTAAATGGTAAAACTTCAAAATTATTCTCCTTATATCACTTTTACTTTTAACTCACTTAATCTAAGTTTTACATATTATGTCATATTATTATTATTATTATTATTATTAAAAAGCAAAATATAAATTAAATTTTATATAAAAAAATTAAATAACTTATAAAAAAAATGTCTACAAATTTAACGTTTATATCTATATTAAAAAGACAATATCATCTTTTATGTTTGATTTGTATGCATACGAATATTTTTCAAATTATTAGTCCGTACAAAATTAGTCAACTCAGTTCATTATTTTTTATTTTCTTACAAGATTAATACACCATTTCCTTAATATCGAGATAATAATATATAAATTAATGTAGATATTAATAAAGTTCTGAAATTAAATTTAATCAATTAGGAGATATAGTATCAGAGGATAGGATATTTTTTATTTATTAAATTACTTTGTCTTCTTATTGGATGTGTGATCTTGTATTTGTATTTTTTTCTTTTATCAAAAGATAAAAAAAAAAAAACTTTTCCTCCACACCTTTAAACTCGAGGTGGAATAATTATCATATATTATAACAAACTATTTATATAATGTAGTCATTTAATTATATATATTACTATAAAAAAAACACATACTAACAATATAAATTTGTATTCATTAATAAATTATTTATAAATTAAACTATTTTCAAACATATTACGAATCTATTCTGAAAGTATGAATAATTTAGTATAAATGAACATTCTGTTTGAATAATGTATTTATACTAATAAATTAGTCTATCACTAAACTTTCTTTTATAAAAAAATTGTGACCACCATGACATTAGTATATAATATTTATTCATACTAAAATAATATTGGTTCTTTAAGCTACGACCATAAAGTCAATAGTCCAAAATATGTATATAGAAAATATTGGTTTAGAAGGAATATTTATTAATTGAGTGTAGTGTGGATATGCTAAGCTTGCAATGGGTTGAATGGTAGCAGCATCACTTTCGAATCTTATAAAGGATAGACGCTTATGATATATTTATCTCATGGTAGTGATGGTTGGTTAGTTTGCAGATTTTGTGCCTTTTTGTACGTGAAAAATGGCTATCTATGCAGATTCCAGTCACAGGTTACACATTTCCTTTGATTATGGTGGTGACTCAATAATATGGCTTATTACCCAATTTCTGGTAATATTTCTTTTTAACGAAAAAGTGATTTAGCTGTCATCATGGAAAATATAAATCAAGATTCCTTATGCCTTCACACAACAGAAAATGATTGAGTTCATGAACACAAGACAAAAAAAACTCATCATTCTCGAGGATTGTGAAAGAATAAATGAGACACCTCCCCAGCAGTAAAATTTTTAAAGATTTTGTAATTATAGAATTGAGTTTTTTGTCTGTTTGTATTAAATTACACGAGCAATGACAGAGGAAAAAAATGATTTTTTGTATTTGGGAGGTAAACCGAGGGTGATGAAAAAACAAACCTCTCTCAGACTAACGTTTGTGATGATATGAGAATTTCTGTTGTCCAGGAATCTCTCTCCCCATCAACTTCTTGGTTACTAGAAAAAAGGAACCAAAAAGATTTTGCGTAAGATTGAAATAAATTGGAGCAGAAAGAGACATGAAACATTGGTTGTGACAAGCCACCATCCATCACAATTATCACTTTGAGAGAGCAAGCAATGACCCACCATTGTTGGTGGAATCCAAACGAAGCACACATATCTATCAGACTGAGTAGTCCTGCTCCCACGGTGACAAATAAGCACACGCCACTGTTCTATCATTGTCATCCATCACAAGTGGGACTGATCATTCAGTTTAAATTCTGGCTAAACAACACGATGCATGCATGAAAGTATGTAACTGTAATCAGAATGAGACGGTAACAAAGAGCAGGTTATCACCTGCTGCCACTGACTTAATAAAAGATATTTCTAATCACCAATTTTTTTGACTGTACAAAAAATTGTACACCAATTTGTTAAGGCCTCCCTCCTGAAGCCACATACAAGGCCATGGGTAGTTAGGTACTCAGTTGATTTAATTCAACTAACTATGCTTCCAGTTTCGGGATTTAATGAGATGGGTACATAAGTTCTCCTCCATCACGACTCAATCTAAGGCCTAAGTAGATGTATGAATTTGGTCTACTAGATTAACTGCCAACAGAACCAGGATATCTATCAGCCAAGACAGTTGTTGAGTCATCATCAATCACTCTGAGGATAAACTCAAATTATCGATGGCAATGGACAGATCAGATTCCATCACATGATCACACTCCTTTTTCTGAGCATCATCCTTGGTGGCATTCTCTTCCTTCCCTTCTGCAGCAGCCATACAATCTTGGAATCTGAAGCAACTGATGAGGTGGTCATTTGTTAACCCCACAACCTGCATGAAGGAGTATATGACCGTGGGACCCACACCTCGGAAACCTCTTCTCACCAAGTCTTTGCTAATAACATCAGCTTTTGGTGTTTTCGCAGGAACCTGTCGAGGATATCGGAATCTGCTAATTATAGCTTTGTGGTTCACAAAACTCCAAATATATTTGTCAAATGACCCGAACTCTTCTATTACCTGGCATCAGTAAAACCTGCAAAAAGTTAGCTGCAATGATAATCTAACCATGGTGCGAATTGTGCAAAATGAAATTATGCCAGTTCAGTGAAAAAAAGAAGCATTGTAGCATTTTATGTTTAGAAAAGTATCAAGACCGATAGCTGACTTGGGACATACCAGCTAAGCATGTTGGCTGGTTAAAGGATAAAAATAATTAGGTTGCATATCATTGTTGTAAATTAGAATACAAGAAGCTCAAGCTGTATGGTGGATTACTATCAGTTTGTCCCATATGGGTCATGGAAATTGTAAGGGTCAGGACCACAACACCTTTATTACCTAACCTACCTGATCAACTGACCATTAAACACCAATTTAAGTCATTTGGTTGATCATTGCATGGGGAAATGGGAATAAAATATAAAGTTATTTAATTAATTTTGCAGAAAATTTTAAGACATCTCATGGGTAAGTACATGAGTTCTCCAATCTTTTAAAAAGAAAACAGAATGTGTTAATTATTAAACAGACGTAAATTATTCTGCGTGCTTGATTGTTATGAATCTAGCCCTTAAATTTAAATGGCTCCACTTTTCTGTGAAAAAATGCGTAGGCAAGGATGATCACTCTTATACTTTAATAGTTAAATACCTTCAGTTTTCTTTTTCTAAAAATTATTAATCTTGATTTACATTTTAGGAATTTCTCCCAAAGATCAATTGCAGAAAGTAAAGCTGTTAATTAAAAAAATGCTTTCAAACTTGAAAAATATGAAGTAGTTGATAGTATTCCTAACTATAATGCCTAATAAAGATAAACATGCAGACCCCTATACTCTTCTATTTCATTGATCATAAATAAGGAAGTACGAAGTATCACCTAGATCACTTGTTCTGTGGACATGTTATTAAGGCCAGAGACACCTAATATAGAACAATGATTTTGAATGGTCCAGCAATCAACAAGTAATCATGATCTAACCCAAGTGTTTGCGAATTTCATGATGAAGGTTGCAAAAGTCACGAGAAAAGTAATATACCTTTGATATTTGACGTGCATTCTCAATTATGGTTCGCAGCTTAAGGTCAGAAAGTAAGGAGCTTGCAGCGGTTCCTGGTGCCATTATCTTCTTTTCATTAAATTTTGACACAGCAACTGGATCAAAATCCGCAAAAACTTCCCTGCAAAGAATTTTGTCAACAAAAATAATGTGAACATTCAAAGAGAAAATAATGGGCTATGGCTGATGTAGCATCCAACCACAACATGTTTGAGGCCAAGGGAGATTAATAATTTAAAATAAAAAAGGAATAAATTAAGAACATCTAGAAAGGTAATACCTAAAAATGTGCCTTTGGCTTAGAATAGCTGGCCAAGTGAGTTCTGACAGAGCACTGGAAAGAACAAGAAGCTCAAATAGTTTCCTACATAACATAAGGAGCGTCAAGAAAAATATAACAGAAGAAGACATATTCCTTTTCCGGCCAATATAACAAGATTACTTTTAGTGGATTACAACACATACTTGTCATCATGTACTGGAACTCCCCATTCTTCATCGTGGAAGGTAGCGTAACATGGTTCTAATATGAATGAGTAAACTTGGTCAGGAAACAACTTCGAAAATGCCATGTAGTTCAGAACATAAAACTAAAAACAATAATTATAAAGGAATTTCCAAGAAAGGTAGGGCTTCTGTACATTAGACGCTACTGCTATGAAGCTATGTCAGGTTCATATAATGCATTCACTCAGGATTCCCAAGTTTCTCTTTAATAGCTGAAAAACATAAACTAACTCTATATAAAGAAAAAAGGCAACATCTGTTGCATGGTGTATTAAACCTTCAGCTACAAACGCATGCAAATGTAAATAACTCAAATATCTAAAGTTCATAAACCCGACTTCACACTCATTTCACATTAACTCGTCCGAAAGAATACAACAATGCACAGACGGAATTACACTCTCAATCTCCAAGAACTGAAATTCATCCTGAAACCAAGTGCGAATCACACAATTCACGCTACATCAGTATGATCTCCGATAACACCAAACAACAGAAACTATCTGTCAAGAGGCTTATGGTAAAAATCAATTTATCATCATAGCAAAACAAGTCTTCGGACTGTAAATATGGAGGGAGTCAAAAAAGATGGAGAAGAATACGAACCAGTATTAGGAGTGATCCAAGGACACCTCTTCTTGGACTGTGAGCCATGAGGAGGAGATTCCAAAACACCATCAGAAGCAACACTCCTAGGCTTTGACACAGAGCGCTTCCTTGTGCACCCCAAGCTATTAGACCGAGTCAATCGTCCAGTAGAAGCACGGCTATGAAACGAGTCAGTAGATGCATCAGACGAACATGAGGCATTGAGAGACAAATTACAGTGTAGTAACTGCTCGTGCCGACGCAGAACACTCGCAGAATGTGACTGAGGAGAAGTAACAACCGTAGACACTTCATAGGATTTCTTCTCTTTGGCCTCATTGTGAAATTTCTCCGCTTTCCTCAGTGGCTTTGAAGCTGGCTTCCGAGAACTCCATGACCCTGTCTTGTTCCCACCAGGTCCCAAGACAGGCCTTGCAGCCTCTGAGTCACCAACATTCATAGACCTCAATCTGGGGCCTGACATTCCCACAATTTTTTTGGTTCAGTTTTTTTTCTTTTCTTTGGGTTATCTTTACTTCACCACTCAACCCTTCAGAGGATTTTTTTTAAGCTCTAACTATCCTCTCTAGGAGGCTTAAGACGCAATAGAAAAAGCATGAGCATGGTGAATCTTTTAGAGAGCACCTGGCGAGCAGTGACGAGGGTTTCTAAACAGATCTCAGAATTTCACCCCAAATATGCACTGAAGTAGGTATCACTTAAATCGCCTCCAAAGTCTGAAATTTGAGAGGCATTGAGACACGAAACCCGCTTTCCTCTCAGGACCAGATTCCGAAATCAGCTCAAAACCCAGAAAGGTTGAAGCCTGTGACGGAAGTTGCAGACACAACGGGATCAAGTAGCTGACCCTTGTGAGCAGAGCTAGGGTTTAAGCTGAGTTGCACTGTGTAGTAGTGGTGGGTTAGGAAATGAGGCTGAGAGAGTCTGCAAAGGTTGAGATTCCATTCTGCATTGTGTAGAAGGAGGTTGCTCTCAGCACAGCAACCACACTTACACGCATTCCTCGGCAAAGTTCATGTCTTTTTAATTTCCTGTTCTTTCCAAAAAAAGTAAAGAAAATAAATTTTCCGGGGAAAGGGGCAAGGTTTGAAACTGAGAATAACAGAAATGAGAAAATTGAAAAAAGAGAGAGGGAGACGGTCGATCAAACAAAGGAGGATACAAAGAAAAATGGGAGATGAGATGAGAGGAAGTGAGAGAATCGGAAGACAAAGTAAGAAGAATGAGTGACGCCACGCGAATAAGAGAAGCATTATTTAAGTGCAGTTTGGTAAGAATTAAAAATATATGCTTTATTTTATCCTTTCAAATGTATTCATTCATTGATTCAAACTAATTAGGTTAACAATATTTTTAAATAATAACCATAAAAGATCACTGTAGTAAACATTTTAAATAAATGTTAAAACTTTTTTATTATCTATAAATATTTTAACTTTTTTTTAATCACATTTTAAAAACTTTAATATGATTAATTTGATTTGGAGTTCAGAAGATAATTAATATAGTAAGTAGTTTAGAATATAGTTAAATGATAAAATAATAAATAAAAGGTTAGTATTTATTTGTATCTATATTATTAATTATTAATATTATTAATGCATAAAAAATGATAGTTAACCACCAAATTCAGTCTTTGCACTTTTATTTTTACGAAGAACGAGGGACGTGGATCCTGCATTACTCGCCTCATTAGGATTAAGTTAAGGATTAATAGTTTTTTTAGTTTAAATGATAGAATTTAAGTAATTAGGTTAAAATCCGTTTCCCCCTTTTACCCAAAAGAAGTTTAGTTAGAGAAATTTCTTTCTACGAAAAACTGATTTTGTTTACAATGATGTTAGTAATACAAAGCATGTTTGAGTTTATAGATAATTAATCCTAGAAAAAAACTATTATATTTAGTTAATCTTTTCTCCAAATATTTTGTCCTCAAGAGTGAAACAAAAGAAATATATTTATAATAAAAAAAGAAAAATATATATTTTTTATATTTGTATTATATTATTTTTTTTCCTTTTTTTTTAATGTTATGTTTCTGTAAGTAATGTTCCAATATAAAATAATAAAAAATATAGTTTTTAAAATTTTTCAATTACATATTTTCTGTTATTTATTTATTTTTGTTGGAATTATGTCTTACGCTTTATATATTTTCAACAAATCATAATTTCAGATATAAATATTTATATTTTAAAAAATATACATTAAATTTTAATAAAATTAAACATATACATATAGAGAGAGACCTGTCCGTATTTCTGTTAGTATAAATAAATACAAAAATATTAAACAACTTTTACTTAAAATAACAAATAAAAGAAAAAAATCAACCTATATATCTCTTTTAATATAATGTTAAATGACATTGATATTTATTAAATTTTTAATTAAACAATAACCACAATCTTAATAATTTTTAGAGCATTTTTTTTATTTTTAATAAAATAATACTCATTTCTTATGTTTATAACAAGATGATACTTTTATTTTATTTTATCAAAGACAACAAATTTAAATAACAAACTATAAAAATTAAAATATAAAAATATAATTTTTATTAAACTACTATTATATTTAAATATAATTTTAATTATATATATATCATATGTAGTTTTAATATTTTAATTTTAATTTTTTATAATTTTTAATTAAATTTTGGTTAATAAAAAAATTGGTGCTATTTTAAAATTAGATTAAATGTATTTTTGTCCTTGATAAAATTGTTTTCATTATTATAATTTTAAATTTAATAAATTAGTGTTTAAAGTTAAAATATATTATATCAACTAGAATTATTAAAATCACATTTTATCATTTTATCCATTCCTTTAAAATAAACAATCATAATCAAATATTAAATTTAGGTATAAAATTATTAAAATTACATATTCTCACAAAATTAAAAGACACAATCAATATAAAAGTATAAAAAAACACACACATTTTTTACTATAACAATCCAAAAGTCATTTAAAATAATATCAAATGAGATAAAATCATTAAAAATCACAGTAAAATAAAAGCACCTACACTTTTATTTCATAAAATAATAGACAATATACATTTTATATTTTTACAATTGACGAATTAACGAGTTCAGTCGTTAATATATATATATATATATATATATATATATATATATATATATATATATATAATTTTTTTAAATATATTTAATTGTATAAATAATTTTTAATTTTTTAATTAATATCTTTATTACATAAATTAAAAATATATATTTTAATATGAAAAAAATATAATATTTTTAATTATAATTTATTTTATTTTATTTTATTTTAATATAATATTTTTTTTAAATAATCATCGTCAAATCAATAAATTAACGAGTTAGACAAGCAAATAAAATAAATGAATAAAAAAAACTATTAATTCGATTTAATAAAGTTTATTTTAGTCATCAAATTAGATAATGCATTAGTTAATAAGTTTTATATTTGAAAGTTGTTTTTTTTTAGGATTATTTTTTCTTTTAAATATTTTATAGTAATATTCATTGATTCGAGATCTTTTAGTGTATTATTATTATTATTATTAAGTTAATATATATTAAAAGAATACAATGAAAAATTCAATACTACCTATGGAAAGGATATTTTCTCTCTAAGAATGTTGCTTCAACCCAAATTTTTAAATTTAATTTGTTTGTATTTATTTATTACTGTTCTTAAATATTCTATTTAATATAAAGTATTTTTTATATTATATTATTAGATTATCTTTGTTGACAAAATATTTATTATTATTATTATGGTATATTTTAAGTCTCATAATATACATATATAAAGACTTCTTATATGAATATGAATGAAGATTAAAAATAATTTATATTTTTTTCTTTCAATTATTTAGATTCTAAAATAAAAATATGATTAAAAAAATTTAAAAAATAAACATAGTTTACAAAGTTGAATTAAAAGGCATCCAAGTAATGTTTGGTGTATAAATCTTTTTTTCTTTTTGGCCAAATCTTCTTTCAACAAAATCAATATCATAAAATTATTTTAAATGCTTTTTATCATTAGTTAAACTTTATTAAAATGTCATTCACGTTTTTATAATTTAAATAAATGTGACCTAATTATAACAGACTATATTAAAAGAAATATATTATAGAGTAAAATATGGATATTTTCTATTTATTTATGATACAAGGATGTGGTTAATGACAGTTTCAAGAAGAATTTACTAAATCATCAATCTGTTATAAATTGAAGAATTATCACAGGTTTAGTCATTAATTAAGGGTAAACAGAATGCAATTGAATTAAACTTTAAATGTAGTTGAACCAAACTTAACTGAATTAATAGTATATAACAAAATTAAATTTCTCATGTTTTTTTAACTACTCCGATTATGTGAATTGTTTAAACTATTATTAAAGGCACATATCATTTTAAAAATATATTTCAATATTATAGTTCAATTTAGATTAACAAATTTAGTTAGGAGTGAATTAAATTTAAAAAACGAAACTAAAAAGAGGTTTCAGTTCAACTTTATAAAACCAAATTAAATTTTGAATGCAATGTTATTAAGTATCAGTTTGGTTTAGTTCATTTTTATTAACAACCCTTCCAATAATATTGTCATACATGGATAATTGAAAAACTATACTCATAATATAATAATTTAAAAATAATGAACTAAAAAATTCTAAAATAAGAACAAAAACTAGGATTTATGCTATATAAACATGAAGATTAATGGAGGTTATTAAGTAGGTATTAGAAAATCATAGGTAGTTAGAGTTTCTCCTATATAAATATTATACTCGTATTATGTTTGTTGATGAAATTAACTATTAAAAAAATGTTTTTAGTGATATCAAATATTTCCCTGAACCCTAACCCTAAAATATGTATTGATATTTTTTTATTCTATTACGTTCAGAAGATAAATTCCAGAGATTTCTATTAACATCTGCATTATTTCGATTTCCCGAAATAGTTTCCTAATAAGCCCATTGGATATTGGAGATTTTGAAATATAGATGTCCAATATTAAAATTGTCAACTATAAAAATTAATATAAGTATTTAGAAAAGTATGGTTGATTAAAATTTGTTCATTTTATAAATATTAAATTTATATTTTGCAACAAGGATTAGAACTGATAAACACCCACTTAAATTCTGAGTCACCAAACACTTACTAATATAAACGAATTAAAAATAGTATCCATAACCATTTCATTTTAATAATTCACATCCAAGGCATTTTGTCGCTTTCTTTTTAACCCTTATCATATAACAAAAAAAAATTATTGTTATAATAAAAAATAAGTTGAGAAATTGAAGCAGAAATACATATAAAAAAATAGCGATCAATTAAACGAGTCAATATAGTAATAGAAACAAAATATAATAAATATGTTTTCAAGAATTTAATCTAGAACTTATTTATGATTAAATTGATCAAAGATCATATTTTCATATAATT